ATTTGTGTTGTAAGTTTGTTGTCTTACTATTCAATTATGGTCTAAGTTCGTTATCTTACTACTGAATTGTGATTTCAGTTCGTTATTTTACTCGACCCTGTTCATCATCTCATCCCGTAGGCGCAATATTCGTGGCCATGGTCACGAATTTGTCACCGGAGTTGTTGAATCAAGAGTTCGAATCCTGGTACACACATACACACAACTGAAAGGCCGCGGTGTAAAGACATTGATGCTCATCAAATCTGAGTCAGTTCTCATGTTGGTGAAGTGTGGAAGTTTAGAGAAGGAAATATCAGTTATAATGTTGTCCTTATCACTAGACGGAGGTTCAAGATTACGTGATCCGCTACCAATAGCCATCTGTTGCTTCAGATTGAGTGAATATTAACGTCGCACTGTTCAGCTACACGAGGGCTTTTCGCGACGGACCACGTCATTTTGAACCATGGTCAAGTGAAGAGGACGACACTTGAGCTGGCACCTCCCCCCCTCTCTAACTACCACACAACATCAACGGGAGGACGTTTGAGCTCTTGACAGATTTGACGTGCATCACTCCCCTACACAGTGGGTCTTCAGTTGTGCTGGACTCGAACTCATGACAAGTCAGCCACGAGTCCATTACCTTGACCACTAGGCTACCACGATCAACCTGTTGCTTCATAGACCAATGTTAACAAAATCATCACTCGTAAGTTTTATACGTTTCCACCTACTTTTTTATGTATCTTAATATAAATCAAAATAAGAAAAGCTTAATAAATCACGCACTATTAAAGAATAAGTCTTCATTCATAACTCTGCTCGGTATTTCTGTGTTTTGACTTGCACAAGATTATTTTTAACAGACTTTATCACAACTGTCAATCTCAAAGGCACCACAGTTTAGCGGGTTCATAAATCACGCGATATCAAGGGGAAGTTTCACGTTTTCTCTGCATTCTGACGTTCCGAAAACCATAAAACATTGAAAAACCGTTCGCACCTGCCGGAGACGTCTCACGGAAAATAACGTCTTTAAATAACTATCCTTCAACCATTTTAAAAAGCATTTTGTTTATAAATCTGAAGGAAATGTGGGTTAGTTTGCATTTTACAGTTTGGATACTCTCCAATTAGGAAACTAAACTGACATACACATAAATAAAGGGGAGATGAATCTTTTTACTATTTCTTGCTATTTAAGAACTGTGTCTTACAGGTAACGTGTGGCTATGGCAGGGGGCTGCGGTAGCCTAGTAATGAAGGTATCGGATCGTGGTTGACATGTCATGAGTTCGAGCCCAGCACCACTGAAGGGGAAGCGATGTACGTCTAATCTGTTGAGAGCTCTAACGTCCTCCCGTTGGTGTGGTGTGTTAGGAGAGGGGTGTCAACTCAGGTGTCGTCCTTGTCACTTGACCATGGTTCAAAATGACGAGGTCCGTCGCCAAAAGCCCTCGTGTAGCTGAATAGTGTGACGTTAATATTCCCTCACCATTGAAGACCAATCTTGTAGAGTGGCTCATTCACGTTAAATGTGTCGAGACTCAAAGTCCTCCCATTGGCGAGGTGTCGAAGTTAGGAGGAGGTGCCAGCTAAGGTGTCCTCCTCGTCACTTGACTAAGGTTCAAAATTACGACATCGTCATCAAAAGCCCTCATGTTGATTTGAGAAGTGCGACATTAAGAAAAATATACTCACTAACGCCCAACTCCTAAGTTTCTTGCGATACCTGCATATTTAGGCATCGTAATGTTTTTACCTGCCAGTTCTAATAAATAAATCTTCATTAAAAACAATCCTAATACAGTTCACTCTCGCTAATTCAAACCTTCGATAATACGAACCTCTCGCTAATTCGAGGGATATGCTCAGCCCCTAGAAAAACTCTTGATATTTCGAACTAAAACAATACATTTGGGTACACTCAGTATTTCGAAGTAAAATCTGTGGCTGGCCAGAATACAACACGCGATAATTTGAAGTGATCTAATAAAACTCTCGACTATGCAAATACTATCATGTAGACTCCTGCAGCAAACAGGTTAGAGCTTACATATATTGTTTGTTGTATTGTCTCTGCTTGTCTCCCCTGTAACGTAGTCCCTTTGATGACCATTGGAGTGGACTCCGATAACTCTGACAGAAGCTAAAGTGTCACTAAACAAATTACGCAACATTTTCCTTTCAAATCATGTTGATACGGACGTTTGTAAGCTTCAGTTATTCTGGAAAAGTCTTTTGACAAATTTAGATTGAATACCATAAAACAAAAAAAGAAAACTGATTTTTTCGTCAAAAAAAATCAATTATGTATAGTATGTATACAGAACTATTTTAATACAGGACTTTTTAACTTCTACGTAATATTTTTTTCTGTATAATACGTACTTTTTAAAGATGCTTTAAAATAATTTTATACTTTGGTACACAATTGTTGTTTTATTACATAGTTTCAAATTGATGTGTTAGAAAAAAACATTTCGTTTCGTGTACTTTGGGAGTTTTTTCCTGCCCTCTTGATAGTTCGAAGTTTTTCATTGGTCCCATCAACTTCGAATTATTGAGAGTCTTTTGTATATATTTCAACTGGCTTATTAAACGTTTTTTGTAGCCTATTGTTTTTTGCTTGATTCAAAAGCCCACTTAACGTAGCTAATGTTACTCATGATTTTGAATCGTACTCTAAGAACGAATTTTGTCATCTGAGTCAGCACCCTATTCTTCCATCTGCACTACACCATCATGATTTGAGCCGTAATATTTTTGACAAGTCTCAACTTCTGTAAGGCCGCAGTAGCCTAGTGGTCAAGGTATCGGATCATGGCAGGGGCATGTCATGAGTTCGAGCCCAGTACCACTAAAGACCCGTCGTGTAAGGAAGCGATGCACGTTAAAAATCTGTCGAGATCTCAAACGTCCTCTCATGGTGCGGTGTGGTAGCTAGGAAAGAGGGGTGCCAGCTCAGGTGTTGTCCTTATCACTTGACCATGGTTCAAAATTACGATGTCCGTCGCCAAAAGCCCTCGTGTAGCTGAACAATACGACGTTGATATTCACTTACTGACTCAACTCCTGTAGCGTGGTACTTAAAAATAAGAGGTTCTTATACCAAAATCCTTCATTATAAATTCTTTACTCTCCTAACAAGGCTGCTCTGATTATATAGGGCTATAAATTAGAGTTAGTGTGAATTCTATGATAACGCACATTAGATAAATTTTTCATTCACTCCTCTCGTCGTAACAAGTACAAACACACATAGAAGAATTCAGGAGTTTCTTAGAGGTAAGAATTTCTGTGATTTTACCATTCCAATGTTCTTATTCTATTCTTACTTTATAGTCTTCTAAATGAAAGCACGTTTTCATTATAATATTTCGAATAATATTACATATGAAGAATGTTCTGTAGCCTTCCGCGTACTGAGTTGAACTAGTACTGGTATATGTGCTCTATTGTACTAGTACATATATAAAAAAACTCTAGTACTGAAATATATGCATATATTTTTTTTTTACATTAACGTGAAATACTATCATTTCCTAATTCCTCATAGCAGTCAGAACGACATCTTTAAAAATGGCACGAACTGTTAATTAATGTCTAAGATTACTTTTTTGTGAAGCATTTCGCGTTGTGATAAATGACTTTTGACATATGTTAGATGCTACCTTTTTTTCTTATTTTTTAGGCAGTTTTCCTTTTTGGGTAATTAATTCGTGTTCATGGACTACTTGTGACTTTCTTTATATTTTAAATCTGGAAGTTTCAATTAGTAAATTAAGAGTTATGTGGGTTAGAGTGTTAATTTTTTGTCACAAATTTGCCTAAATGTTATGTGGATAGATTGTAGAGTTTTAGAAAGGAAAAACTGTTACAAATTGTAACTATTTCAATTAAAATTTTGATATTTCGGTTGTACGGCCATAAATCTCGCCAAGTGAACATTTTTGGCGACCGCACACAATATGCGCAAAATAAGTTATTTGCTGTTGTTACTGTTTCTGTTGAATTAACACTAATCTCTCGTAGAAAATTTGTGACCCCGGTACCCGATTGGTCAAGAACTCGTGACCGACTTTGCTTCTGCCGAGTCGTGGGTTCGAATTCTGGTGTCATTGAATACCTCTGTAGAAAGGTTGATGCACGTTAAACCTACCGATGCGTGGAAGTTATGAAAGTAGGGTGTGAGCTCAGGTGTCGACTTCGTCATTTGACCATGGCTACGAGGTTCATCCTCAATAACCCCTGTGTTTCTTCATAGTGACGTCAGCAAATAATGATGAAAAATGGTTAAATTTGACATTTCATCTAGATCTTAGAGCAACATTTGGCGATTAATCGCCTGAATTCGGCTAACTGAACAGTACACTTAATTTTTTTATTTTCGAACATTTACTTAATTTTAGTTTCCGCTTATTTATTTTAATACGCGCAGATTTTCCAATTACTTATTAAAATTTTTGTAGATACCTTTTTGTGCCCAATGATGCAGTAACGATTGCTATAGTGATTGACTTCTATTCTATATCTAAAAAGTCCAAATTTTAAAAAAAAAAAGATAAATTTTAATACGTTAAATGTAAGTAGACAAATACAAATCTCTACAATCAAATCTCGGTTTTTTTATATAGTGTTATTTTGCTTACTTAGCTCCGTGCAGTACAGATTCAAAACTTGATTCAACATTTTTAAAAATAAAATCCAACGTTCTGCAAAATCAATTTCGTCTATTTATAAGCAAAATGCTTTAAATAAACTACCTTAAAAACAAGTAACATAAAAAAAAGCGTTTAAGTCAATTCCTACTTAGGTCAGCAAAGATAAATTTTTATTTTAATTACTTTTTATTAAATAATTGCAATTAATATAAATATGTATATGCTTATGACAAAATCACAATATTAAGTGGCTAAGTAGAAAGCGATTTTTCTTTCTTTATATGGTGTTGGACTACTATTTTTGTTCGTTACTTTTTATGCATTCATAAATTAGATTCTTAGAAATTAGGCTATCCCAGGTGGTATTCGAAACCACGAACTTTGGATTAGAAATTCAACTCGCCATCCATTGTGCTACAGAGACACAACAGATGATTTTCCTTTTTTTACATATGGTGTTAGACTATTTTATTTGTTTTTTACTATTTATTCATTAATTTAATTTAATTAATGAATTAATAGTAGAAAAAACTGTATTAACATCAAGTGTCATCCACTACAAGTTTTAAAAAAATGTATTTGGACTTGAATGGATGAATTGAAAATACTTTATTAGCGATTTCAAATTTGAACAAGATATATATAGGGAGATTATGTGAACTAATAGTAAGAATTAAAAAAATATGAAAAATCCTAAGGTTATTGAGCCACAGAATATTTGAACCACGGTCAAGTGACGAGGATGAAAATTTGAGCTTCCACCCCACTCTCCGGACTTCCACTCCACGCCAAGAATTATGCTTTTACTAAGACGTTCACGATAAAAAAAAATGCTTCACACTAAAGAAGACTCACACTAAAAGTAGACCGAATATCATCACATTACTTTAACATAAGTATCATATTGAAGATTGATCCATATATTAACAACCCGTTCAGAAGCAATATAAAAAGCTATATATGACGAATTTCGTAAATCTGACCATTGTCAAGTGGCTAAAAAGACACCCGAACCAGCAAATTTCCACACCACTCTAAAATGAGAGTTTTGAACGAATATATTTAGCGTGGCCGTGGTACCCTAGTGGTCATTGTCACAGATTCGTGTTCAGAAAAAGTCAGGGGTTCGAGAGTAGTAGAGGTGGCCGTGGTAGCCAAGTGATCTAGTTCGATACCAGTACCACTGAAGACCCGCCGTGTAGGGGCGTGATGCACGTTAAATCTGTCGAGAGCTCCAACGTCCTCCCGTTGGTGTGGTGTGGTAGTTAGGAGAGGAGGGTGCCAGCTCAGGTGTCGTCCGCGTCACTTGACCATGGTTCAAAATGACGCGGACCGTCCCTAATACCCTCGTGTAGCTGAACAGTGGGACGTTAATATTCACTTACTCACTCGAGAGTTGTAGAGATCTGAATCCTCATGTTGGCGTGGAGTGGAAATAAAGGGAGTGGGTTTTTACCAGCTCAAGTATCATTCTCGTTACTTGACCGAGGTTCAAATTTTTGAGGCCCTCGTGTTGCTTCATACAGCAATGTTTGCATTCGGGACTCAAAAACATTCCTATAATTCCTGAACTGATGAAAAAATGATTCCACGAAATACATACAATGTGTGACACAAAAAAAACGAGACTAAGTGTGTAGCTTAAAAAAGAGTGGAGTTGGCAACAACTGTTTTGGTGACGTCATCCCACACACCTTCTCTATCCATGGGGCCAGTTTCGTCTTAATCTATCGTGATAGTTGGGAGGACTGCATCATTGAGTGAACACGTGCAACTGAATTCTGCCGGAGAAATGTCGAACCAACATCAAGTTTGTTGTGAAACTTAAGAAATCAGCCACGAAAACATTTCAAATACTATCCGAGGCTTATGGAGATGAAACTTTGTCTCGTGTACATGTGTTTTAATGTCATACGAGGTTTTCAGGAGGAGGGGTCAGTGTGGAAGATAATGAACCTGCTGGGCACCCATGGTCAGGGATTACAGACCAAAACATAGCCAAAATTCGTGATATGAATGGGTTCCGACTCACATCAGTGGTCAGACTGTTAATCAACACTGCTATATTGAAGTACTAGAAAGACTTCATGAAGAAATTAGGAAACAAGATATCAATCATTGGCATGGCCAAGTAACTTTAGTGCGTTTTTCACATGTTGTATTTTACAATAATGCAACTAATGAACGTCTACGTACACGATGGCTTTCTCTATCGGCTTCCAAATATTCTTCGTCTTGTCTTTGTCTTGCGTATTTGTCATGATATCTCTGTCGGTCTTCTGCTCGTAGTTGAGGGTCTGATCTACGGGTTTGCATTCTCGTTCTATTTGCAACATTGTCACGTGGATTTATTGGAGAACGTGACCGTTCTGCTCGTCTCTATTGAAGTTCCTCACGGTCTGCTTTCCTTTCACTTTTTCCAGTCAACGTTCTTTTCCTTCCCATTTTTAGGTTTCAAAAAAACTTTTCTCACTTTTAGTTTTCAAAAAAAAATTTCACACTTTTAGTTTTGAAAAAAACTATTTTCACTTTCACTATATATCTTATCACTTTGTCACTTTTAGTTTTCAAAACAAAAAAAACTATTTTCGCTTCACACTATATATCTTATCACTTTATCACTTTTAGTTTTTAAAAAAACTATTTTCACTTTACACTATATATCTTATCACTTTGTCACTTTTAGTTTTCAAAAAGAACTATTTTCGCTTCACACTATATATCTTATCATTTTACTGTTTAAAAAAAGAATTATAAAAAAGTCAAATCAGAGCCTTTTATACTTGTTTTCTGAATTTTTTTTGTGAAGATTTCCTCCAAAATGCAGGTAGATTTTTTTAAAAAACCTTTTTGCAAACAATAAATTTACTAGGTAAATTTGAGAAAATCTTATTATAAACTAGCGAAATTCAGGAAAATTTGTAGGAAAACTATGAGAAAATTTAAATATGATTCGGCTCATCTAGGGCACAAATGCGACCCAATGCTGAAAACCCGAGGTCAATTGGTTGCTTTTTGGCTGAGAAAAAGATATGACAAAATATCGAACGAAGACGAAATTTGCGACCTAATAGCGCTTTTGTTCCACTACGTGACTACCGCGCTAAAAAGGCCAAAACTGGGGAGAGAGAGCGATGGATGGCTGTTGCCACCAAGTCAATACATCCGTTCACATGGCCTTTCTTTCGAGCAGTTTCTGACCATCAAAAACATTACTGTGACGGGGCATCCCCCTTATTCAACTGATTTGGCCCCATGCGACTTTTTTAAAATTTCGTATACAGTAAGTACAACGTCGTTTATCCAAACGTTTATTATCTGGAGCGTCAAATATCCGAACCAAGAGAATCAGAGACCTTGCATTGAAAAAACGAAGGTATACAATGATACAGCGAAAAATAAGTGATTATTTTCTGCAATAAAGGTAAAATTGCAATATTTTGCACCTATTTTGCTTTTTCTTCAAGCACGTTTCCTGCATGTGATGATTTTCAATATTCGTATAGTGTCCGATTTCATATACTGCATGGATCGCATTCGGTTATCCGAACAATCGCGTATCCGAATGATGTCCGGTCCCAATTGATTCGGATGAACGACGTTCTACTGTAGTTTAATCTTGCTGAAAGGGAACCCATTTTACCTCAGTTGAAGAGGTTCAGGCAAAAACGGAAATTCTCCTAAAGGGATTTCCAAAACCCTCGTTCCAGAACTGTTGCCAGCAATGATAGCACCGAATGCAGAAGTGTGTGAATGCGGAAGGGAACTACTTTGAAGGTGATACTGTCACGGAGAACAGATTCTGTATAAGTACGATGATATATTGAACCAGTCTCGGTTTTTTTTTCTTCTTTTTTTTGTGTCACACCTTATATTCAAGTGTCTCTATAAATAAAAAAAAAGGCATTCAATTAAGAGAAAAGAAAAACAAAATAAACCATTACTCTTTTAATCTGGGCCAGTAATGGAGATGAACGTACAAATTAGAATTGTCTAGGATGTATCAATTATATAAAATGTGTTGAAACGCACAAACTTTTTATTTCGCGTCTATGTCTGGTACCTTTTCAGGGTCGAGATAAAAAAATAGTTTCTCCACACGACACACCATAATTTATAACAAAAAAAGTTTCAAACCACCATTTTTTTAACTGGTTTATAGTCCACTTTAATTAGAATAAAAATCACCCACCAAGTAATGCAATTTATTGAATATATTTCCAGCGGAAATTTCGGAGATATAATTAAGTAAATATCATTTATATCAATAAGACTTTATAATGAGTCGGTTGAATACCAAGATTTCAAAGATTACGTCAGAGAAAAAAATAACTTTTTTTTTTCTCTTTCTTAATTAGAATAAGAATGTAGAACATTTTTGTTAAAGAAAATAATGAAGATTAAAGACAATTATTGAAAAGTATATCAAGTTAATATTGTTTTTTAACATAACGGAAACCTGGATGGAGAAAAACTATTCCTAATTATAATGTTAAGAAATTTTAAAAAGTTCTAGATTGCATTATTTATACATTGACGGTTTTGGGATTTCCCCCTCCCCAAGAAAAAATTATTGTAAATTAATGAAATTTGGACAATGCAATTGTCGAGTTAACATGCTTAAATGATTAATTTTCAAGATCACAGGTTAGTTAAGGTTAAGAAAATGCATTTCAAATGTGAAATCCTGTTACATTACTATCTGATGTAACCTCCTGGATTTTGAATGCAAGCGTGCATGCATTTTGTCACACAGGTGCCGAATGTCACTTTTGTAGTATGGAGTTCCATGCATGTTGTACTTGTGTCAATACTGGGACGGTCATTGCTGGTTGTGTATGATGCTGGAGTTGTAGTCCAATGATAACCCATACGTGCTCAATTGGAGACAGACCTGGTGATCTCGCAGGCCAAGGCAATATATCAACACTCTGTAGAGCTCGTTGTGTGACAACAGTGGTGTGAGAGCAAACGTTATCTGTTGGAAAATTCCCCCTTGAATGCTGTTCAGGAATGGCAGTACTATAAAATGAATTTCCAGATTAGCGTTCATATTTACAGTCAGCGTGTTTGGGATAACCTCGAGAGTGCTCCTGCTGCCATAGGAATAGAAAATCTCCCCCAAAAAAGTTTTACGTGATGCTGTAATAAATTAATTACGGATGATCGCATCAATGCCAACGTTTATGATAACGCGCCAAGAGGGCAACCCGGATTTCTCATGTGTCGTACGCGCTGAATTGGACACCATGTGCTTCGTTTTATATAATTCGCCAATACGGTTGCGGTAGTACATTATAGCACCGATTGCCTGGGCTGGAATCGGTTGCGTGACAAGAAAGGCGGTGTCTCATACGAAGACTTATTAGCAATCAAAGGAACTAATTACTTGGCTTTCCAAGGAGAGGCAGGTTTATCAAAATC